GTCAGACAAAATCCCATCCCATGAGGAAGTAGGTAAGAAGCTCCAACTCAACCTAAGGAAATTGTGGCAACAGACACCTGTTAGGAGGGCCAGAGACACTCTTTCAAGCATGGGACTCTTGCTAGGTTAACCAGGCTACAGTGGATGAACCCACACAATTTTCATCTTAAACATGACTTAGATTCTAAATAGCCTATTAAAAATGAACTAATATAGCAGTAGTCTATGGAGGGTCAGTCTTAGTTATATAGCAAAGTTCAAGGCAAGCCTAGGCTATGTGAGACCCTGTGTCAAAAAATCAGGAGAACTGGTGATAGAGAGATGGGTTAGTGGTTAAGAGCACAAACTGCTTTGACAGAGGACCTAAGTTTGCAAGGTAGCTCACAACACACAAACACACACAGTAAGTCTAGTTCCAGGCAGATTTGATATCTCTGGCCCCATGTGCACCTGCACTTACATGCACATACTCACATACACAGACACACACATATACATAATTAGAAATAACCCTTTAAAAAAAGACAACTTTTTAAAAATCAGGGGGGAAGGGGCAGGGCCTGGAAGCCTGTGGCAAAGAGATGGTTCATTGGTTAAAAGTGCTTGCCATGCAAGCATGAGGACCTGAGTTCAAATCCCCAAAACATAAAAACCACACAAAATAGTGCAAGGATCTGTAACCCCAGCATTCCCATAAGTGCAGGGGCAGGAAAAATAACAATGACCTTTTCTCAAAGTGGAAGGAGACAGTGCAAGGTTGTCCCCCGACCTACATACACACACAATTTTTTTTTGTTTTTTGGCTCCTCCCAAGCCCATGGGACCCCTGAGGAACAGATCCTCAAACAACCTCAAGAGTAAAAACAAATCAGTTTATCTGGTCCAATGGTATGTCCTTAAACACCCAAAAGGGAAGTATAACCAAAGATTAAAGGGGCCGATATAATTTTTTAAGAGTCCATATGCATAGCTAAAGGCCACATAATAAACAACAATGCCAGTTATGAGA